GTCACTACAGACATTTACATAAAGTTTTTTTTTATTAAATCTTATTAAAAACACATTTTTATCATTGTTCATTAGAAAATATTCCGATTGCAGCTGTAAATATTTATTTCGAGTAACAAACAAACAAAGAAAAAAGCTCAACAGCTTATTCACATTTCAGCAATAAATAATCCTTCCAAAGCTTTTGAAAAGCCATTGATGTCCAAGTGAAGCTATCAGTTGTCGGCCACAAAATGTAAAATCCTTTTTATCATTCTCACACACATACATTCATATGTACATGTGTAGCATGCATGTGAATGTTCCAGAGCGGATATGGAACGTATCTCCGGTTAGCAGGCGGACATTTCCGACAACACAGCTCGCCAACACAATAAAAACGTTGGCAGCACTGACATATCCGTAATAATTTTCAGCATCACTGATAGATTTGAATACATCAGCCATATAGTCAGTACATTGCTTATATAATATAACAAACAAAAGCTTAAACGGATATTATCAGGATAAACCATTCAAGTTCTCGTTTACAAGTAAATGTGTATGAATGTACATACTCGTATGTACTCGTATGTAAGAATGTATGGATAGCAAGTGAGTGGTTTCCATCGCTCTACACTTGTGTATATCCGCGTAAATCCATTTAAGGATTACAACTGTCATTTCACTTGATGTGGCTACTTTGTAGTTCATTTGTTTGCTGTAAAAGTGTTTGAAATGGAGAAAATGGAGACTTTCAGTTTTATTTTTATTTATGCATTTAGGTTTTACATGTGAAAAGGAAAATTCCTCACTCCCCTTAGAGTCAGCAAAATATCTGAATTCTGTGGCTGTGTCTTGGCTATTGGGCCAATCGTCTTTGGGCGTCATAAGTTTTGCAGGAACGAAGGCAGCTCCTTACAGTGCTGTCGAAGGTTGCTCTGACTCATGGTGAATATCTGGTCATTGGCGGCTTTACAAGGTTCAAAGCCACACTAAAAAGGTTCAATCGGATTGTCGACGGTGGGTTTTAGTCTTTCAAACAATATGCTCGTTAGCACCTTATACGCGATATATAGGAGGATAATCTCACGGTAATATGCGCTTACTGTGAGGTCCACTTTTTTATGGAGTGACCAGAACATGTTAGATTCCAATCGTTGGCAATACTTTCGTTCAACCAAATTTTGTAACGACCGCCATCACAGCTTGAATAGCTTCAGCCGCACTGTTGTTGTTTAAATAGCGATTCGAACCTCGTTGTAGTCGGGTTATGGAACGTCGTTTTCATCACCAACAATTGAGGTTTCGGCCACCTGATTATCATTTTATCCCTGCCTGAGTTTCGGCCGCTTTCTTTCTGTGCCTGCAAATGCGTTTTGCTTCTTTCTTCAGCTCTCGATATCTATCCCACCCCGCACGCATAGTGGTCGATCGCAATGCTGTAAGGTAAGCAGTTTGTTTTCTCTCCAATGCAGTTTTATATTCCTCATCGTACTCTCTCTTTTTCTGGTACTGCCGAAACCCAATTGTTTCCATAGCAGCGGTACGTAGGGAGTTTGAGATGCCGTTCCACAGTTCTCTTAAATCCAGTTACTGATGAATACTCTCAGAAAGCAAGTCTGCAAGCTAAGTAGAAAATCGTTCGGCTGCTTGTTGCGATAGTAGCTTTTCGACGACGAAACCGCCGAGGCGTGGGCGTATCTTTGCAGCGACAAGATAGTGCTCCTAGTCGATGTTAGGCCTTCACAACGGAGACATGTTTTTCGCCAATTCCAACATTATCAATTTGGTTGTGCGATTCTCGATCCTGCGGCAGGCATGTCCGGCGAATTCGATTGGCATCAGCGTGTTTGGAAAAGTTTCGTCATGGGTTCAGAATTTCCCGACGTCATGCAAATGGATTGAAGCTGCGACTGTATCAAACAGGGTGGAATTTTCTCATCTTTTCTCTGTGTTACACTAGTATTGCTGATCATTTGTCAACACCATAGAACTTACCGAAAACACCCCTAAGTTCTATGTGATCTACTCCAAAATGTCCCATAAGAACTAGTTTATGCAGAGGTCTGAAAGTAGATCCTGCAAAGATGAACTTGATACTGTCCACCCGAAAACACAAAGCATCTGCTTTTAAGATGCATCTACATTTAAGTCATCTGGAAAAAACATCTACTTGGCTTCCTTGGAGTTTGTACCACAACTGTCTGTCAGTACCTGTCAGGTTTGAGAAAACGCGACTGGCAAAGCCACAACGGACAATAGGTCCAAGTGTACTTAATCATAAAGACGTTTCCTAGATGTCACTTCCAAGGAAGTACCGTGCGACCGCAGATGGTAAATGACAAATCGTACTTTGAGCATAAAATCCTACCATAAAAAGCGGGACTTTTGCAGAGTAAATACTCTATTGAATTCTCTAACTTTGTACTGAGCGTTTTCCTTAGCTTAGACAGTGTTCTCGTACCGTTAATTTTACCTACCTTAGTAATTTAGTTTCCTCTTGTTTAATGAACATGAGAAAGTCTGATCGGGAAGAGGAAATCAGTTGCCCTAAAATAATATTTATATGCCACGGCAATAAAGCGCTGTTGTCATAAATTTTGCAACAAGTCTTAATCACCCATTTACCTCTTTTCTGGCGAATGTCTTCCCCTTTTCGTCCCGTCACCGGTTGGCTGAAGTTGTTACCCCACACCAAGGTGGTTACCCTCCAATGCCAAGACCAAGACCAACAGCATCAGCGAGTCATCTGTATCAGTAGCCGGTATTAATCATAAATATCGAAATAATAAAAAGTGAAAGAAATATAAGGAGAAACAGCAGAAAATGTTTGTGCACGTCTCGTATCGCGTTACCGATCTACCTTACCACTAGCAACTACAATAACAATAATGGTGCACGCTACTGTGGCAGCCGTTAGTTGCTGCTGCTGAAACTGCTCTTGCAACAACCAATTGGCAAAAGCTACCAGCTGTTTGTGTTGCTGTTGTTGTTCCAGTTATTCGTTTGTCGTTTTATTACCAACATTTACAACAACAAGCATAGCCAGCCGTTTGTTGCACTTGCATTTCGGTTGCAATTTTCGTCGGTTTTGGGACTATTGAGTTGTTTGCAACCGTTGACGTTATTGCTGCTTATGCTGCTCCTTACTTTACAGGTTGCCACTGTATATTATAGTTGTTATACGTGTTGTAATTGTTGTTGTTGGCCTGTTGCCAGTTGTGTATTTTATTATAGTGGCTACTATCACTTTTCACCAGCGTCATTTGATATTCACTTTTAACGCTGCTGCCAGGTGGTAGCATAGCATAGCAAGGAGTACTTAAAGCGTGTGTATTTCGGGAAAAGGGGCGCCGAAGTGTGGATTGCCTTTGCTCTTTTGTTGAAAATAATTTCGCACTTATTCATTCCGTAAGAAAACAAATGCACAACCTTAACCTAAAACTGTATGTATGTATGTATGCCCGCTCAGGTTTTGGGAAAGTAGAGCGTAATTTTATTTGTTTACAGTAATGTGTGAAGTGGCTAGAGTTGCCAGATGAAACGAAATAAAATAAAATAAGATAAAACAATATAAAATAAATAAAGTAAAATAAAATAATATGAAATAAAAAAAATAAATTAAAATAAAATAAAATAAAATAAAATAAAAATAAGGTACAACAAAGTAAAATAAAAAAAAATAAAAAAATAATATCAAATAAGTTTAATAAAATAAAATAGATTAAATTTATTTGAAATAAAAAAAAAAATTAAAAAAAAATAAAATAAAAAAAATTAAAAAAATTAATGAAATAAAACTAATAATAATTAAAATTAAAAAAAAAGTAAATTAAAAAAATTAATAAAAATAAAATAAAAACGTGTAAAATAAAATAAATAAAATACATACGCATATGCTTATAAGGAAATATACTACTGTGGGCAAAAAGTAAGGTGAACTTTTAATTTGAGCTTCGTGCGTTTAATATTTCGGGTTAATACTTTTTCTCATGTTGGTAGCACTGTTTCTGACATCTACTCCAAATTACATGTCAATGTCATTATTGGTATCTTAGTTAAGCTTGTGTTTACTAAACGACTAAAATCTGATTTAACTGAGGAAAGAAGTGTGAAGAAGAGTTCGGATTTGAAAAGAAGTATATCAGAGAGAAATATTGGTATAAATTAGGCGGCTATATTACCAAAAGATTTAGACAGCTGATCTTATTCAGTAAAAGAATTTAAGAATTATTTCAGCCATCAGCTCCGTCTACCTTTGTCGGTGTTGCAACTTGAAGCCCGAGAGATTAGAGCATCTGAAGGAGGATAGCGAAACGATAGCAAAAACAAGGTATTTATAGGAACGTTATGGACTGAGAATGATTATATCAGATCCATGATACTATTTCATTTAGGTTTCCTAAAAACACTTGGGCTTTACAAAGAGTTCAAGATTTTTATGAAAATCCAATTATTAAATTATTGAAAGCTTTTCTTAGATTTGGCAAGCCTACTTACCCTAGCGTCCAATCACTTTGATTGCAATGACTTTCAAACGATTTGCACTTGTTACGCGATCGCTATTAAATAATTTTTCACTTCCAGCATCTTTCTTTTCCGCAATTCAAATGGCGTCGCACAAAAAGTGTAGCTGGAGAGTATGAGTTAATACAAACTAAAAATGTTTTATTGCAGCAAGCCCTCTTTCGTACCACGTACCACAGGCTATTTCGTAATGCGATACGCTTTGTGGCAAGTAAGCGCAAAATAACGACACTGATACTTGCCACACTCACTCATTCATTCACTTATTCCTTCAACAATGTAATTTTATGAAATTCAAGAGCAACACTGATCTCCTCAACGCTTTCATTCACTTTGCTAATTTTTTTCGATCAAAATTATTTCTACAACGATGAAATGACTAATGCCTCTGTAGTTGGGCAAATGTATAAAAGCTCTGAGTTGGTAGACAATTCGTTACAGTACTGAAAGTTGAGTGCAACCAAAGTGACGCAATTATTACCGAAAAGAGTTTTTTAACAAGCTAAACACAATTTGAAGTTATGGACAATTTGGTGGGTGACTATGAGAATACAATTAAAAATAGCCAAAATCAATTAATTAATTAATTAATTCCAAAAAAATAATTTCATTCATTTTAGTTACCGCTGCTTCTATTTGTTGCTGGGTGCATGCACCTCAGCTCTGCTTCATACCATGGTTTCGACGAGTCATCATATGGTGGCCATCATCCAATTGAAACGCACTCAGAGGTGTCCAAACATGTGCCGGTTAAAGTAATCGAAAAAGTACCACTTTCCATACCACATCCCGTGCCGGTGGAGGTGCCGAATGTGATACGTATACAAATTCCCGAACCTTATGCAGTACATGTGCCCGTGGAGCAGGAAATACAAGTGCCCACATATAATATTGTGCCGGAGATCACAGAGAAACGTATACCCTACACAGTGGAGAAGCCATATCCGGTGGAGGTCGAACGTCCCTATCCCGTCGAAGTGGTGAAGCAAATTAAAATTCCCGTACCAAAACCATACCCGGTGCCCGTCACTATTTACAAACATGTCGTGCAGAAGGATCATGGTTGGGATTAGTGTGTGTGTGTGTGGGTGAGTGTAGAGCAGTAATAGAAGACTGTAGGTGCGTTTGAGAAACTTAAGTTATTACGCGTTTGTTTATTTATATTCAGCAATTTTTTTATAATAAAGTGTTTAGTGTTTTTGAGAGTTAATTCGTATGGTTTTGATTTCAATCGGTGTTACTATGACCGTCTACCTTTCAGAGTGCATACCTACCGTCGCACCGTTATTCAGTACTCAGTCTGGAATCAATGCAGAGTACTGGAGAACGTACTCTTCGAGTTTGTGTATAAATGAAGAGCTCTTTATCTTTGACGCCAAGCCGCCACAAGCAAAGAACCTCTATACCCATATTCCACACCCTCGGAGTACAGCTCCTTATGCAGTTCTTCTAGATTATCCCAGCCATTGAATATAAACAAAATTGCACTAAAATTGAGAGCAAATTTTTCTGTAGAGCCCAATGTTTCTCTTGCCCTCTGTATTGAGTGGAGCTCCACATATTAAATCTTGATTTTGACTATGAATACCATATCTTCTCAATCGTAAGGTGTTCCTTCTCTAACTTTGTTTTGATTTACACTTGCGAGTGCCAGGAAGAAACATGCCCACGCCGCCCTTAGAGACTATCCTTCAATCACTTCCGAGGTACTATTTTAATAATTTTCTCTAGTTTTGAGAGTATAGAAGCCACTTAAGACCCAGCTCGTTGGTTGGAGGGTTTTTTTTTTATTTAATTATATCGATTAAGATTCCAGCTCATTCGGCTCTTCATCGATTACTTCACTTTGTCTCAGCTTGAGGATAGGAAGGGAGGATTACCATATTACCCTTGAATATCGATTGAGCCTGGGGTTGATACTTCAGAGTATGAGTTCCGTGAAGAAAATTTAAGATGGCGTGGAGTGACCATTCCCAACAGGTGGTGCGCTTGAACTGTTTTCTTTGTGGAAATCGTTATGTGTTGTGGCATGCCTTGCACAACTTGAAAAGTTTCACTAAATCTTACCTCTATTTATCCATTCCACACGTACACTGAGCGGTATGTTTGGACTTAGTTACTTTAAAGGGCCAACGTAGTTCCTGTTTACAAGAAAAGAGCCTTATTGGCACTCTTAGGGTCGGCTGAAAAGCAACTTGCCCTACCCATCTTTCAATTTCACTATTACCATGGAGAATATGTCTCGTCACCAGCTTGAAAGGCTACTATTGACTTTTTTATTTTTTATTGTTCCTCTTAATACTAGTTCCTATGCATGGAGAGGGGATTCTCGTTCCTATACATGGAGAGGGGTTTCTTGTTGCTATTCATGGAGAGAATATTCTCGTTGATATGCCGTAAATATTTTTTTTGTGTGCCTATTGAGAGACATCGTGGATCGCTCAGACCACTGTCGGTTGTCACTCATAATCATAGGCAATCTCTGGACAAGAGGGGAATAAAGGTACGAGCATACATACATATATACATTCGAATGCTTGGAAAAAAAAACTGAATGTCACTCACTTCATTGGAAAACAGCAAGAAGCATTACCGAAAGCAAAGTGCCGAACGACTGATGAGTTTAAATGTCAGGAGGGGTATAACTTTCCCGTCGAGGAGAATCGCTATGAGAAATCGTTTTCCATAATTTTCATGTGCAGAAAATGGGATTCCGTGGCCCTCCTGAAAGTAGCCCGAGCAGTGCTGGTACATCGGTCACACCAGCTTCTTGTCTGTAGTGAGGCCTCTCGGTTGCCGAAAAGACGTGAATTGCGAAAAGACGTTATCGCGCGTGGTTACAGTTGAAGTTAAGTCGGTTTTAAGTTGGAAGAACTGTCTTATTCGTAGAGCGAAGGAAAAAGTACCTTCCAGGAGCGCTGTAAGTCTCCAGGAGTTATTGCTTTTCGGTAGTGTCGATGGCCTCCATTTTTACTTATTCATATGAGACTTTTCGTTGATTAGATGCCCCGAGTTGCTTTTTTCTTTCAAGCTTCCACTTCACAATTCACATTATATTGTATGATTTCTTTAATTTCGCGAATAGCCCAATCACCGCGTATTGGAATTCTGGGCTGTGGGCGTCGTTTTGATTAAAAATCTCACTCATACACACACAAAGCAGCTGCACCCTATGAAAATCAGCGAATGTTGTTAACTATATATAACCTGCAAATATTTGTGATCCATATGGTTCATTCGCATACCTCTTGGATTAGTCCTTTGTAGTGTAATGTTGGACCAACTAAGGCCTCGCTATCGGCTTGTTGCCAGCCGACGATTTTTCGCGCTTTAACGATCGGTATTACTACACGAAGTAGCGAGAGCGCAATAAGTTTTATATACAGAAAATGCATGAAACTGAAATTGAACCACTTGCAGGAGGGTGGTTGATTGAGCTCATTAGGAAGGTAAAGTGTTCAGTGACTTATAAATCGTATAAATAATAGGTACTGTTATTAAGACAATTAGTCTTTGAGCTATCTTCAACAAAGCAACACAATCGGGAGTGCTAAGTGAAATACCATGTAAGGAATATCAGTTGCGAACACAATGAATGAGATGCCATTGGTTTCCGTCGACTTCTGTCTGGGAAAAAGATGATGCATAATTGTCAGGGTTTATTTATTATAAAATGAAAATAATTCCCTGGAAACGATCCGACAGGCAGAAGCATCGAGGCGCCAGAACTTATTCAAAAAGTAGAAAAAGTTGTTCGTGATGATGGTCGGCAAAAGAAGAAACAACTCCTAGAATTAAATGGAGTATTCGATGCAACTACTTTTGAAATCCCGCACGATCGTCACGGCATAACTGAATTCAGCGTAAGACGAGTGCAGGGACTACTCACGACTCCGCAAATACAAGACGTGCGCTGCGTTGGCCGCCCTCTATAAGGTGGGCTTTGATATTTTGAATCACACACCGCACAACTGAGACCTGGTCCCGTGTGATTATTATCGGTGCATCACAGTTGATGAATGAAGTCAAGTAGCAGTTTTGGTTTGTTTGGAAGAGCATATGGAGCATATGGTCTAGCCCTAGGTCATTGTAATATTAATTACACCATATCTTTTTGTATGGACTGTGGTGAGTTTTGGACTACTCTATTGTCCGCGTAGCGCATATATTTCACGGTTGCATGAAGTATTCGCGTTTTTCACCTGGTGTGTTGCACTCGACTACTTGTGGCAAGTGGCAAATGCATTACTTAAGTACACACACACTTAGTTACTCACGACGGCGCGTAAGTTTGTCATTAGATTTGGGCTGCTGTATTGAGTGCAACACAGCAGGCAGGCATGCGCTTGTTGCAAGTCAGCCTTTAGTAACAGTAATTCGCTCGATTTCATAAGGCACCCACCGGTCAAGTGTGTGGCGTGGCAGTGGCAATAGCGCCTTTGGCCTTTTACATTTCAAAGCTATGCAGTTGCCCGGTTGCATGGTCGCATGTTGTCGTATGTTGTATGTGGCATGCTGTTTGTTGCTTGCTTTTTGGCTACTCGGTTGCCGTTTAGCTACTACTCCCACCATCGCTTGCCACTTTGTAAATGTCAGCGCACATTAAAGCGTTCAAATCTCACTCGGCGCATGCGTTACTGTTGGTTGCATGCCCCTCTAATCGCCGCACACCGTTGAAGTTGGTAACACAGTTCGATTTGTAATTGTTTGCATCTACTAGTGCGATTATGTCGGTGGCATGCTTCGGTTGCACTGCTACCAATTGTTGTTTCCGCTGCCGTCGCGTTATTTCAACAATTTTTGTTGTTATGGCGCAGCAGGTAAATTGCACATTGCAAATTGCACTACAAAGTGTATTGCAAATAATTTGCATATGCCACAACAACAACAACAACAACTGAGACAACAACAACATCACAACAACAATCGAAGTTGTACAACAATGCTCTATCTGCCGCATAGTTCGTGCAACTTAAGCGGAAAAGTAATAAGTGCAAAAAAGCAACAACTTGCCACGAGTAATTGCAACATTTGTGAATGGCACTGTTGCAACTTCATTAGACATTTGCCGTTGATTTTTTTTGATATTTTTTTTTGCATTTTGCATGTTTTCAGTGACTTTTTTTCGATGACTTGAGTGTGATTGCATTATTTTCGAGAATTTTCTGGCATCAATGGTAATTTTATCGAAGGAAGTTATCATAAAGAATGCAAAGGTGTTTTGTTGCAATGATTTTTGTTATTTGTTTTTGTATTTTTTCATGCTTATCTATCGACATCGCATAAGAGTGCTAAAAATAAAGCCAGAGTTTTTTTCAACCAAATATTTTTAATTCGTCCAAATTATTTTTTCTTCTTATTTTTCCTTGAAGTATATGTTTCAAGCGGTGGACTCCGAAGCCCTGCGCCCAACTACATGGGATTCGCCTTTTCAATTTAGCTCGCCTTACTTACTAACTTATTTTACTGGCTTAGACGCCGCTTACGCGATTATGGCCGATGTGCCATTATTTTCTTCTTTTTGCTGTTTGGCGCCAATTGGAAATACTAAGTACAGCTAAGTCCTTCTTTACTTGGTCTTTCCAACGGAGTGTAGATCTTCCTCTTACTCTGCTTCCACCATCGGGTACTGCATCGAAAACTTTCAAAGCTGGAGTATTCGCATCCATCCGGATCTCATGACCTAGCCAGCGTAGCCGCTGCTTCTTGATTCGCTGAACAATGTCAAGGTTGCCGTATAACTCGTAGAGCTCATTGTTCCATCGTCCGTTGCCAACTCGTAAAGAACCATTAAGCTTACGCAAAACCTTTCTCTTGAAAACTCCTAACGCCGTCTCATCAGATGCTGTCCTCATCCATGCTTCCGCACCATATAGCTCGAATATCATGCGACAAATCGTGGAAAACACATATGGAAGGAATCGATACACATCACGTTTTTATCGATTTTATAAATCAAACTTTTGGAGATAAGTAGACGTTTGTTGGGGAGTGACTCGATAACTGTAAAAAGAATTATATGAGAGCAAAATCCAAAAAGGTTTCTTATTCTCTATCATATTGGGTGTGCAAGGAGCTTCAAGGAAATATTTTCACAAAAAAAGTGGACTTTTCGATTTTTTACCCTGTTTTCAATTTTAACTGTTTATAA